GCTATCTACTCGGCTGTACCATTTTATTCTTAGTAGTAAATATTTTAAATGAATGTTCAATTTTGGTGAGGTTAAGACAAAATTTTGATAATACAAAATTAGTGCATAATAAATGTGTATAATCTTTTACAGAAGAAAAATAACAACACATAGCAAGTACTTAAGAGATGTTCCTATCTTTTAGCCTTATAATTACCCCAAACTACTGCAAAGCCCCAAGGAAATAATTAAATAAAAGTGAAAAAGTAAAAAAAAAATCAGTGAAATAGTAAGTATAGATATATTTACACATAACAGTCAAATATTAAAAAAAGAGGAATAATTTAGTTAACTGTAGTGTGATTGCAATTGCTAGAATGAAAATATATAAACTACCTAGAACTATAAGGGAATTCTTGTCATTTATAAGTGAAAGTAGGGGCTGGTGAGATGGCTCAGTGGTCTAAAGCACCTACTTAGAACAAGCTCAGCAAAGCCCAGGGACTGCGGTTCAATCCCCCAGCACCACCTGCCAGCCAGCCCCGCCCCCTGGTGGGCTGAGCTGGCCACACACACACACACACACACACACACACACACATAAATAAATAAATCCCCAGTTCTGCAAAAAATAAAATAAAATATAAGTGAAAGTATATGGTGTGACTGGCAATAGGTAAGCATAAAATACCTTTGGTGTGATAGTGATGACTTACATATCAAATTTTCTTCAATGTTTGAACATCTTTTTAATACAACGATAAAAAGACAGAAGTTCAATCAGTAAAATTTGCTTAAGATTCTGCTTCTGTTAAGGTGGTACACAGGAAGTTGTCCCCCATAGGATATTGCTCAGTGGTATAAATGCCTGCCTTGCAAGCGCAGGGTCCTGAGTTTGATGCCCAGTACAAAAAAAAAAAAAAAAAAAAAGCCTCAGATTTGAGTTAAGCCAACAGTGTTGAATTGTACATAGTGGTGCATGTCTATAATTCCAGCTACTGAGGCATGAAGATTGTAGGTTCAATGGCAGCTTGGGCAACTTAACAAGATTCTGTCTCAAAATAAAATTTAAAACAGCTTGGGATATAGCTCAGTGGTAGAGTGATTGCCTAGCATGAACAAGGGCCCTGGGTTCAATCTCCAGTAAAACACACACCACACACACACACACACACACACACACACACACACACAGAATCCCTGAATGTGGGTCCAACTACAAATTTTGAAAGTGATTTCATTTTTAATATTTATAATAGATAATAATGTTGTGTATATATGGTATACCGCATGATATTTTATTTCATGTATACATTGTATATGTTGATTAAATCAGGATAATGAACACATCTCATCACCTCAGATAGTTACCATTTCTTCATGGTAAAGACACTGAAAATTCTTTTATGTATTTTAAAATACACAGTACTTTATTATTAATCATGCGTGTGTGAGTTATTTTAATACACATTTAGCAGTAGACCTTATTTTTAATAGAGAAGCCTGAAGTTCACAGCAAGATTGAATCAAAGGCATACAGATTTCCCATATACCCTTTACCTCAGTAGAAGCACAGCTTTCTCTGCTCTTAAAATCCCACACTAGATGACCAAATAGCTCAGCGGATTAAAGTGCCTGCAAGCAGGCCCAGGGGCTGGGGGTTTGATCTCTGGGCCTGCCGTGCTGGCCTTGCCCCTGGGGTGCACTGAGATGGCAATTGAGACTGGGCATGGGGGCACACGCCTGTAATCCCAGCTCATGGGAGGCTGTAAACAGGTGGATCACTACGAGTCCAATCTAGTCGTGAGACCCTGAACACCCTGTAGACCCTTCCCCCTGCCCCAAGAAAAATATACTACCCTAGAAAGACCCATTTGTTACACACTAGACCTATTCCAGCCCAAAGTCCACAGCATACATTACGGCTCATTTTGGGTATTAATGTGTTATGGTATCCATCTGTGATTACAGTATCATGCAGGACACTTTCACTGCTCTTCAAATCCTCTGGGTGTCATGTTTTTATCTTTCCCGCTCCCTTTTCCCTCTCTGCAATCCCTGGTAACCACAGCCCACTTCTATTGTCTCCATATTTTTGCTTCATTCAGAAGATCATACAGTTAGAATTACATAGTATACAGCCCTTTCTGGTTGGCTTCTTTTCTGAAAGGTTTTTCATTTTGTTTTCTTCAACCAGTATATGAAGGCCAAATGAGTGTTTGAAAATTCCATTAGATATTATGAAGACAGTTACACTACCATGAATTGAGTTATAGTATACACATTATCTTCCCACAAGTGTTAGTATTCTTGTTTTTCTGACAAGAAAGTACCCAAGGTCACTGAGTCAATCAATGACAGAAATAATATTCAAACCCAGTTTGTCTGACTCCAGTGTTCTTATGTTTCCCTTAGGTCACTGTATTTGCTGTGACAATAAATATCAATCATGGAGCATCGGAGCAAGTCACAGGAACTCTCAGGGTCAAGCACAAGGGCAGAGAGGCAGAGCCGACACATGGCATTCTAGTTCTTAGAGGATAGCATTCTGACAGAACAACACAGCTGCTGCCTGCTTTGAGCCAGTTTACATTTCTTATCCTTAGGCATGAGAGGACTTGTATATCTTATCTTTAAGCATGAGTTAGCATGCAAACCAGTCAAAATATTGACCAGAAAAATGAGGTGAGTCTAATCTTGTGTTCCATAAACTTTTTGTATTATTTATCCATCTGGGAGCCTCTTGGACATTTTCTTCCTAAAAACCCCTCACCCCAGTTAAATTTTATAGCTTTTTTTTGGCATCAGGGATTGAATTCATGACCTTGTGCTTGCCTGGTAGGTACTTATGCTGCTGAGCCATTTCCCTAGCCCCTAAATTTTAATATCACAGATTCTATATTTTCTTATATACTGTGACCCTCTGGAAGGCCTAAAGCTATTGTAGTATCTACCATGTTTTCTCCCCTCCAAGAAATTCTTTTCATACCCTTGAGGATGCTCCATCATCTCCACTGAGAATATATCATCCAACTTCAGGTGGCTAGAGCTCAAGTAGGCTGACAGGGAGCTAGAAGTCAGGGGGTTAGGGCCAGGACACTGGAAAGAGCCAACATGGTCTGACTGAGACCCTGCTCAAAGCTCCGTGTTGCCAGAAGAGTTGCTGAAAGAAGGAAGAGGCAGAAAGACATAGGGGCCAGGAAACTAGAAGTGGTGTTATTTTATCAATTATTATAGAAAAGATCAGAATATATTCTCCAAATCTGTTTCATAAAATGTTGTTGTTGTTGCTTTTGTGGTGCTGGGGACTGAATTAAGGGTGTTTACACCGAGTTCTGCCCCTCAGCCCTGTTTTATTTTTAATTTTGAGACAGAGTCTTGCTAAGCTGTTAAATTACCCCGATGGAGCATGAACTTGTGATCCTTATGTCTCAGCCTGTCAGAGTGCTAGGCTTATGGATGTGCACTACCACACCCAACTGTGTTTCATAATATTCTTGTGAGACCAGTACTTTGTGGTTACAGACTTCAATTCTTTTTTTTTCAAAGATTGATTAATTGATTGATTGATTTGGTACAAGGTCTCACTACACAGCTCAGGCTCATAGTGAGCCTCTTGTCTCGGCCTCCCCAGTGCTAGGATTACAGGTACGCACCACCATGCCCAGTTTCTGTGGGAGGCAGGGCAGGGCCTGGAGTACCGGGATGCTAATCTGGGTCCTTAGGCTTGGCAGGCAGCCACTTAGACCACCAGGCTGTCTCTCCAGCCCCAGACTTCAATTCTTAAGGTCAAAATAGTTATGCAGGTAGTATAATGATTTCAAGGTTTATCAAGAATACAACTCCAGAGGAACTTAAAGTTTTCAAAGGTAATGGTATCTGATTATGTAATTTCACTATTCAGTCTCCATCAGGGCTTGGGTTCATGGTACTGCAGTGTAATTTTATTGTGATTAGAAGCTAACAGGCCTTATTTACTATATTCCAGGAAGACATTGTGCTAAATGCTTAGCACAATACTGGTAGACTATTTTATTTAAACTTCACAAGAGTGACACATTGGACAGGGAAATACTTTCTAACACTATTTCTAAGCTGATGGGGGAAACAGAGACATCTCAGTTACAGGCAGAGAAAGGCACTGCCTATGAGTTTTAGTAGCTATTTTGGGAATGGAAGGTACAGAGAAACCCTCCTTTCCCTCAGGTGAGTGGAAGGAGCAATCAATATATGAAGAAAAGGATGGAATAGATTCCATGAAGTGTACCTTGACTGGGCCATTGATGTCACGGACATGGTCTTCACACTATACTACCTATAGGAAAGAATAGCCTGTGTAATTCAACGTATTATTACCTGCGGTTCTTTCACTCTATCTTCCCATAGTATACCCTTTAGTTCTTCCACCTGCTTCTGTGACCTTAGTGACCAAACCTTACCAGCTCTGTTGAATGACTAGAGCCTGACAGAAGTCCTCAGATGGCTCGGCTTCTGGGTGTGGGTGTGTGGAAGCTCTCATGTGGGACTGCTATCACCATCTATTCTAGCCTTCTTCATAGGGATCTGAACTCAACACTTTTCTTCCTGTCTCTAGAGAAACATGGATAAGATATGTGCAATAAATAATTACTGGAAAACACCCAGACAGGAAGGGGTGATTTCCCTTTACAGAAGAGCCAAAATGTCTCCTTTCCAACAAAAAGCAGTGGTTGCTGAGCTGGTGTCAGGAGCTTGAACCTAAAAACTAGATTCCCTTGTAACTTTGGATAAAATAACTTATATTTAAAGCCTTTCTAATAATTTACCTTCTTCCACTCTGACAAATTCTTCTTATAGGAAATATCTTAAGCAGAAAAGGCAGTAAATAGGAGTTGACATAGATATATGAAGTTCCCAGGGTGCAGTCTGCTCACACAAATGGATGCTGTCCCACAGGTGCTGCCCACAGATGTGTGTGTTTAGCTACTGCACACATACATGCTTTTGATAGACAGATGCCTACAAAAGCAGAGTCTACTCACATAGACAGATGTCCACGAGAAACACAATGTACACCAGAAGCTCTCGGAGGGTAGTCTTGACATAAAGTTCTCTGTTCTCAGCTATGTTCTCAGTCAAGGTTGTTCCCCAAAGTCCTAAGGGCATTGGAGAGATGTGTAAGGCTCTCAACAGCAGCATTTTCCCAACAGATGTCCCACCTTAGGCCTCACCCGATTTCCAGTCCGGCCCCTTATCCATGCCCTGGCAGAATCTGGCTGTTCTACCCACATCCAAACCTGTCCTCTTCTGAACCCTCTGAGGTGATGAGACAGGGTGATGGCGCTGAGTTACAGAGCACCGAGTCATGAAAGAGAGGTACCTGCACCAGGTCTCAGGTCTCATCACCTCATGTGTTCCCTCAGCCTCACTTTCACCCAAGCAAGGACTGTGCCAGGCACTCTGTCTGGCAGACTGTGATACTGGCCTCTGTGTTTTGAGAAAGCAGCTCTCACAGGTGAGTCACAGAGACACTGAGATTCACCTCTTCATGTCACCTTTCCCCACTAAACCTGGTGGCCCTGGTATCCTACTTCAGTACCTCAGAAGAGATTTCCCCTCAACCAGTACCTCTGATACTGTGACAAAAATGGAGGCAGCAGCTGGATACCAAGGTCTGGTGTGTCTTCTTCTGGGGTCCATCGTCAGTCATCCTGGGCTGTGGCTGGAGGGGTGCTGCACTAGAGATTGTGCAGATCTTCAGTGTGTCTTGTGGGGAAGGGGGTCCACTGTAGGAAGGGTTGTCCCAGGCTCCCTTTTCCAGTTTCTGCAGCTCCTGCCCCTCAGGATTTTCCGTAGCATCCATGGGGAGGGAGGTATGGAGCTGGCCCTGCAGGTGCCTGCTCTCATCTAGAGTAACAGGGGACAAAGGCATGGCCAGATGAGCCAGCAGAGAGGGCCAAAGGAGTGTGACAGCAGCTGCTCACCAGCCTCTGCCTCCTGTCTTAATGGGAGAGCTGTGATCTCCTGGGGGAGGGAGAAGAGGGGAACAGGGTAGGATGGTCACCAATCCTATCAGCTTCTCTCTCTCTCTCTCTCTCTCTCTCTCTCTCTCTCTCTCTCTCTCTCTCTCTCTCTTTCCCTCTCTCTCCCCCTCCCTCTCTTTTCTCCTCCCTTCCTTCTTCCCTCCCTCCCTCAGAGGATATGAAGAGAACAGACTAGGATGACCACCAATTCTACTTGTTATTCTCTCTCTCCCTCTCCCCAGAGAACAAGAAAAAAAGAGTTGTGAGGGAACTAGGAGTCGAGAATTTGAAGAGGAGACTAAGAGGGAAAGGTGAGAATGATGTGCAGCTGGAATGGAAGGAAGAATGGGTGACAGAAGCAAATGCTGTGTCCCCAGATAGTACCTGAGGAGAAATGACCAGAGGCTATGAAAGAGATTATGAAAGGTCACTGGGATGAGGAAAGGCTATGGTAGTGCCTTGTGGGGCTTTCCACCAAAAGCTATTGAAAGAGTCAACAGGGAGTCTGGTCTGAAGCCATGGATGGGAGACTGTGAAGAGCTGCGTCTCCACCAAATTCAGCCAAAGGCTTCTTCGGTGTTGCTCCTCTAACTGTCTCTACTGAGTAGAGAAAAGCAGCTCTCCTCCCTCACCCTGCCCCCATATCTGGGAAAAGAAAAAAAGGATAATGATAGAAGGAGGTCCTGCTCAAATCTTCAGGGACAAAGCCTCTGGTTCCTGATGGGGATGGAAAAGAGACTGTAGGGTTTGAAGAGCTGGAATCTTTTCTGAGTTTCCCTCATGGTCTACGGAGAGACACTTGTAGTGCAGTGCTCCATAAGCTATGGGGCTTAGCTCAGGAAAAGGCTATGTTCTGGTGGGGAGGATGGGCCAGACAGCAAAGGGCACAATCTCTTTGGGACTTGGGAATGAATATCTTGATCTACTGACCTGCCCTTAATTTTATAGGTCTCTGTTTAACACTGGATCTAGAACTATAACCTTGAGCACAAGCTCAAGGGTGTCAGGATCTGCTTTCTTTCCACCTCAGTCTCTAAGGGCATGGGCCTCTCTGCACATCCTTGCCTGTGCCCAGCTCTGGCCTCTCACTCTCTATCCTGACTCATATAGGCGAATGCTGTGGCCCAGAATGATGCTGGTTCCACATGTGCTGGTGATCACCCTGCAGTTCCTCATTCTAGAAGGCTACAAGGAGCGGTTCTCTTCCAACTGCTGGTTGCCCACCTAGGGCTATTCTGTAGTTGCACCAGACTGAAGACCACAGTCAAGCTCAGACCACCTAACCATGGAGCTCTCCACTCTGGGGTGTTCCTATCAAGAGATCTTGCTCTTAGTCAATCTAAGGCAGGGCTGAGCCTCTTCATCAGCCAGTGTACCCTTTCTTTTAACACAGGGTTGAAAATATGGATGACATATCTTCAAGTCTGCCACATGAATTTCCTGCTCCTGGCCTACATTAGAGAACTGAACCCTCTGCCTGCCTGGAGCCTTCAGGGATCCTTCCTAGCTGATCAAGTCCTATCTCTCCATTGTACCAGCCAGTGCCATGCACATCAAGGTACCTATTTTCTTTGGCAAACAAAGAGGAGGAGGAGCTGGGCCAATGTCAAACATCTGTGTTCTATGAGCTGAGTGAGCAGGCTAGAGATGCCTAGGTGCCTCTGTAAGTCTTTTGAACAATTGTCCTGGGCCTCTGGAAAAGGAAGAGGAACCTGAAGCCCCAAGAAGCAGGGAGAGAAGTAAGAAACGGTTTCTGCTTCCCTTGGTACAATTCTTAGTTCTGGAGAAGGCCCATAGTCAATTGAGCTTTGAGTGAGCTTCAGGAAGTTCATTACAAGACAGATTTGCCCATGCTGAGAGTCCTAGGCCAGCCTAAGACGTTCACCTATCCAGGCCTCCCTGCCCTGTGTTGAACGTCGCCCCAGTGTTCAGCCCGTATGGCCCCAGGAGACAGGTTGTGCAATATAGCTTGACAGATTTTCTCAGGAGGTTCTTGGCACTCCTATAGTGTTTAAATTTCCTGTAGAAATTGCAGATATGGTAATCAAATGGAGTCTCCTGATGAATTCATGTCCAGTACTTCTCCAAGCTCATAATACTATAGATTATTGATTTTGTTAAAAAGGATAATCAGCATTGGGCAGGGTAGGATCTTAGGCACAGACTTCCTTTAGGCTACTTTAGCAAAACCTCAGATCTTAATTTTGAATTTGAATTAAATTTCTGTGCTTAACAGTTGGCTCGGCAACTTACTAGGATGTAGGGTTCTAGACAAGTTACTTTTGAGACTAGTTTACCCATGTGCAAATTGCTGATGATAATCTCTGCCCTGATGACCTGAAGGAGGACTATTTTTGGGTTTTGCTTGTTTATTTGTTTTTACTTATTTATTTTTGAGATGGGGTCTCATTATAGAGTCTAGGCTGGCTTTGAGTTCACTATGTAGCCCAACCTGGCCTCAAACTTGAGTAATCCTCTAGTTTCAGCCTCCAAAGAGCTAGGATTACAGGCATGTGCTGCCACACATGGCTGAGGGACCAAAGTAGTAGAATGTAGAAGGCTTTATAAGTTGTTATCTGAAGCACAAAGTAAATGACCTAAATCTTCCCATAGTGTCTATTTTCATACATATTCCACTCCTTTAGCAGTTCATGGAAAGGTACATATCTTCAGGCAAGACTCCGTTGACATGGTCTCTGATGGACATAGGGCTAGAACTGACGTTGTCTACATTGTACCAATCCCAGCAGCTGGTACTAGCAGAATGGAATCATGCTATTTGAGCTAGAGAAAAGTTGAAAGGAAACTTTGAATGAGAGAGCTCCTGTAGGAGTTTATAATCACACCACAGAGGCCCATCAGAACCCAAATCACCTCTTCCTCAAAAAGCCAAGAAAATGCTTCCTCTCCCCCCAGTTTCATCAGGGACCTCACAGAGGCTAGAGGTGGTGTATCTTCTCATCAGAATGGGATCTTTTTTCTTCTTTTCATCTCCTTTCTTGACAAGTCCTGCTAGAATACATTTTTCACCTTCCCTGTCTCCAGCACAAGCCTTTTCAAATGAGATTTTCAGCTTTGTTTCTATTTCTAGAGTTTTTACCTAGATATGTATATCCTTTGTTCTGTGGAAGGTTTGTTAATGGAAGGAACACAGTAAATCCAGGTTAAGATAAATGATACCATAAACAATAAAAATAAGCAAATATTCAGTTCCCTGCATCCATAGTAACTTATTTTGTGGCCACAATCATGCCAACCTGCTGACTATGGTCCACACTTCCTTCATGGGCTTACATGCTTTAAGCAATTTATCAGCATCATCACTTCCAGGCAGAGTTCTCACTGCACCAAGAAGGACATGTAGCTTATAGTGTACAGGGTATAGTGGGGACAGAGAGCCAAAATGTGAGGCTGCAGGCTAGAAAAATGGAGGATTTCTGCAGGGGATGGGGAGATCAAGAAAGGCATGAGGGAGAAAGGAAATGTCTACTAGCAGCTTCGGGAAGAGTTCCTTAGAGAAGGTGATTCTTTTTACCCTCAGAGCCACCCACCAAATCCCACCTTGTTTGACTTGTTAGCTATGTGTCCAAAGCTTGCCCAAAGGAGAGGTGAAGCATTCGGATAGATCCATTACTGGGATACACTCTCTTAGCACAATTTCAGGGTGTAAAGGAAGTCACCTAGGGTATCACCATATTCTAGCCTCTGAGGACCCCATGAAAGGTAACATATTCTTCTGTGCGGCATTCTCAATCCAGTATAAATTTATTGGACAAATATGTACTGAGTGTCAATTATATGGTTGGTCCAGTGCTTAGCTCTTGGAATGAATCAGCAATGAAGACCATTACGGCTTTGCCTCATGGAATTTACAGTGTGGTGAAGAAGACAGGCGCCACAGATATGTGAATAATTCATGATGTATAATCACACAAAGTACTGTGAGGGAAAAATATAAGGAGTTGTGAGGATGCACAGCAGGAAATCCACTGTCTGGGGCTATGGTGAAATACGATTTTTTTTTTTCTTTTCTACCTTCTTATCCTTACAGCAAACAAGATTTTCTGAGGTTCCAAAAACATTGTAGTGCTAATAAGCACAGAACAGACCAAGTTACAAGACTGAAGAGGTCAGGCAAGCAAGGCTGAGCTGCAGCAGCTGGGGGCCTTTGTGGCCACTTTGGAATGTGAGCTGAACTGAGCCGAGCTGAGCCAACACCCTGCAGCAGTAACTTTGCTGAAGACATGGATCAAATCATTTTTCCATTCCTGAACTAGGTCATCTGCTTACAACCAGAAAAAGAGACAGACTTTCACAAAAGACCCAAATTAGCTGGAAGACTACCCCAAAATTAACAGTTTCCTGAATAGAAAGTCAGAGGCAAGATTTTTTAATCTTTCATTCCCATGACCTTAGGAATCCATCCTGGTATTTTCATTAGTCTCATTTTCAAAGCTGAAAATGAAAAATTAAACATTCAACATTAGATGAAAAGCTTAAAGTATGACATTAATATGATGGTCTATTGTGCAGAAATCCATAATATTTCAAAAATAATGTACTGAGAAAACTCATGTACTATGTGGAAAATACTGGCTTACACATATACAATATAACAGAATCCAATTTTTTTGTGGATAGTATGCTTATATAAATGCATACAGCAAAAAGAATTAAACATTTATCTTACTGGCTTATACTCTGGAGGACAACCATAGCCTCCCTCTGGGCACCCTGACCACCATAGGAAGTAGGCGGGGGTGTCTCTCTGATCCTAAGGCAGAGCTGGGACACTTTGTTTTTCACTTTGGCCAGAAGCTGAGTCAGGGCAAGGACTTTCCTTTCTGCTCATTAGTTAGTCACTAGAGGTGCTGGGCCTCGACCTGCCTCTTGTCTTTGTGCATCCTAGATGGCAGGCTTAGGTGTGGCCGGCCCTTGAGGATGGAGAAAGGCTCACTTCAGGACTCCAAAGGGAGAAGGAGGGAGTAGCTGAGTAGAAAAGAGCCTCCTTACAATATCAGGCCACCGCAGACATCTCTGGGGCTGGCCATGTCCCAAAACCTTTGTCCCAGGTCTTTGCTGCCCAAGCTATCAGCTCCTAGCTCATGCTGTCCTTTAGACATGAACTGCCCCCACCACAATCACTCTCTGAGCTACAGAGCTGTCACCAGATTTCTGAGATAGGTAACAATAGCCTGATAGAGGCTACTCCCCTAGTTCACATATCTCATTGGATTTCACATTACTACCTCCCCCAGGAACTTTCCCCTGCTTCTCCCAGGCTTACTTGGCTCGTTTCTTTCTTCTGGTGTCTTTAAGTGCTGTGGTCTGAGCTCCATTTACTGAAGCCATGAAGATCACTTTTGGATGGGTTTCTGCCCAAGGACAGTTCCTAGAACTTAAGCTCTTACCCTTAGTTGAGATTCTGAGGGTGTTCATAAACATGAGCTACATGAGTGAACTATATCTTCACAACAGCGGGGGACTGATGGCCATTTTGTTGGCTACATTTCTCCTGTTTCTGTGACAAAATACCTGACACCCAGAATTAAGGAAGAAAAAGTTTATTTAGCTCACAGTTTGTGGAGGTTTCAGTCCATACTCAGCTGGCTCCAAGGCAGACTGACACACGGCAAACAGCAGCAGTTCTTGGCAGCAGAATACAGCAAAAGCAATGAGAGAAAAAGGCAGGAGTGCAAGAGAAGACTCTTTCTGTCCCTTATGTTTCATGAAGGCTACCTGCTCTAGGGTGGGTGCAGTACTCACACTCATAATCCCAGGATTAGATCATGAATCCATCATAAGCTCTAGAATCTAGCTCCATGACTGCATAAGGATTTAGGGGAAGAGCTAGACACAAACCATAACATTCTATCCCTGCCCTCCCAAAGACTCATACACAGCCCTTTATGCAAAAGGCATTTTAGTCAGTTTCTAAGAGTTGCCCAAGTCCTAACAGTTTCAGCACTGCTGAAAAGTCTGAGTCCCAAGTTTCCTCTAAAATTTAAAGCAAATTCTTAGCTGTGAGCCCCTATACAAACAAAAAGTTAAACACTTCCAACATTCAATGAGATGAGATAAACATTACCATTCCAAAAGGCACAAATGGAGATATGAAGGAATGGGATCAAATTAAGTCCAAATCCAGCAGGGTAAACATTAAGTCTTGTAGTTACATGTGGAGCATCTGATGTGATCTGTGGCAAGCTGTAAGTTGCGTGGCTCCACCCCTATGGCTCTTTCTGTGGTTGTAGCTCCCATGGCCTCTCTCTTGGGCTTGCTTTGCTTCCTCCTTGAAGCTTTCCTTAGATGATCCATGTTCCTGGTTTTTCCAGCCTTCTGGGTTTTCTACTGAGCCTTTGGTTCACAGCTTCACATACTACCCTCTCAGGAGCACACCACCTGCACTCCTAGGCTTCTGAAATTTGAGTGAAAGCCTTTTTGTAACATCAGAACTCTTGCAATCTGCCTCTGCCTAAAACCAGTGTTACACAGATGATGCCAAGGTCTGCTGCCAGCTGGAACAGTAAGCCAGGCTTTCTTCTCTCTCAGCTGTAAGGTTTGGGTGCCTGGATTGCTGAACACTCTGAACCTGATTCTGAGAAACAAATTCTCAATGAGGCTGCCATTCTGGAGTCTGGTGTGGTCACTGCCACCATTGTAGCACATAATGTGGCTGTCACCATCCTGGAACATGGTGCTCCGTGGCTTTCTCCTCAAAGCAAAGTCTTTCACTTTTGCAGTTTTGAGGCTGCAAGGAGTAAAGACTTGCTGCTTCTTGTGATGTTGTTAGGCCATCTTTTGCTTTCTCCTATTCCTTCTTAGCAGGCAAGATCTCTCAGTTCTGTCTTTGCAGTCCACAGCTTTATTAGAGCTTCCCTTCTGGCCATATTAATAACATTTTAAGTCATCCTTCTGGGCTCTCTGCTCTTGATTCTCAACATAAATCTGACAAAAAGCCCCCAACAATAGCCATGCCACCCTATATATATATTGAACTTGGGACCTTGTTCTTGCCAGGCAGCCACTTAGGCCACTTAGGCCCCAGCCCTCACAGCATCAATATTTAACTGCCTTGTAATTTCTTCTGCCAGATTAATTAGTCTTCCACCCTTAATATCAGTCTCAGGTAATGTCTCTGAACATAAGCAAAACATAGACAAGATTTATGCCAAGCCATAATATATACCATCTGGAGCCCAGCAGCCATTGCAGTCCTTCTGCCCAGCAGAAACCTCCCATGCCTGATGTTTGCTGGCAGGATTTCTATCAACCCTCTGCTCTTCTGAGCTCTGACCAGAATCTCCTACACAGAACAACCTAAGGTGTTCCAACACTAGTCTTTCAGGTAATATCTCTGAACCTTTCCAAACTTCCTACAATCCATTCCCAAAGGCCCATGAACCATATGCTCAGATATTGTCACAGCAGTATCCCTATTCCTGATACCAAATTTTGTCCTGGTTACTTTTCTCTTGTAGCTGGCACAAAATACCTGATGCCCAGAATTAAGGAAGGAGAGGTTTATTTAGCTCTCAGTTTGTGGAGGTTTCAGTTTGTACTCTGCTGTGTCTAAGGCAGAGTGGCACATGGCAGAAAGCAACAGTTCATGGTGGTGGAAAAAAGCAGACACAAGGGAAAAAAGGAAGGTGTGGCAGAGAGCAAGCCTCTTTCCCTCCCTTATATTGTATGCAGGCAGGCTACCTGCCCTAGGGTGGGTGTAGCACCCACATCCATAATCCAGCACTGGACTATGGATCAATCATAAGCTCTAGAAGTAACCCCCATGACTTCATGAGGCTTTGGGAAGACATCTGCACGCAAACCACAATAGTCATTTTACCCAATTTCTTGTGGAAGCCAGAGACGCCCAGTCATGCTGCTGGAGGGTAAACCAACCTAGGCCTTGGCTTTGGGCAGGATAAAGGGGAGTCTTCTTGGTCTGGGATGTTTGCCACTAGGGGTCATCTGGGACCACAGGAAAGGCCAGCACCTGTCAATGGGAAGGCCCTGCCCCTTCATCTGAGGCCAGAGGGTTGACTAGAGACAAACACTGGGACAGGAGCAGGAGCTGGAGCCCTCTATCTCTCCCTCCATGCTGCCCAATGTTGTAGAAAAGCCTGAGAGGTCTGGAGCTGTCAGGGCAGTTTCTGCAGCTCTGACCCCTTGCTTCAATACCATGATGTCACATGTAATGGGAATGGACAAGTACATGGGGCTGCTTGCATAGAAATATGTCTCAATGTGATTGTTTATTTGAACAAGCTGACAGTTTCAGGATCTGCAGTGGCTAAAGTGACTGACTAAAAGGTTCTGTGAGGTAATGTTTCATATGCTCTTCCAGCTTCTGGTCTGTCCCTGAGACCAGAGGGCAGACCTCTGTCCTCCACTTAGGCAATCTAAAGTGCCTCTTTCTGATAAACCAGTCATTGCACAGAACTCCTTATCTTCTTTTAGGGGGAGGAGTGGGTGGGGTGAGAGGTTTGAAATGGTCCGGTAATGGAGAGACCTGGTCATGGAAGGCGATTGAGAGAATGTACACAGAACTTGCTCCTTTAAATCACGTAATTTAATGTTTTAGCACACACACTGGTTAATCACCACAATCAATTCAAAAATGTTTCATACTCTGAAAAGAAGGCTGCGTTCCTTTACTGTCATTACCCACTCGGATGCATACATTTTCTGAAGTCCCTCTGTGATCCCTGAGCAACGAATGTGCTGCTTTCTGTCTCTATCAATTTGCTTCTTCTAGATGTGTCATATAAACAGAATCAGGCATTATGTGGTGCTCTGCTACTGACTTCCTTCGCTTAGCATTCTATTTTCAGGGCTAATTTATGTTGTAGTGTATGCCAATATTTCATTATTTTTTATTGTCCGATAGTCCTCTGTTGTGTGACTATACCACTTTTCATGCATCTATTAGTCAGTAGATGAATTTTTGCATTTGTGGCTGTTATAAACAAGGCTGCCATGAATTTTCATATATAATTTTTTGTATGTGGATATCTGCCTTCACATCTCTTGGGTATACAACTGGGAGTGGAATAGCATGGGAGAATAATATTTTGAAAGGGAAAGCGGAGTAGAAGAAAACGTTGAGGCAATGAAGCATGTTTAGAAATCGGTAGGAGTTATTTCTTCTTTGCCTTTTGATTAAGGTAAGAGTGCAGCTTGATGAAGGTATAAATTATATCAAGTAGGATATAGAAATTAAGGCTGGAAGAATACATTTAGAATAGTCATGGGTTTCCTTGAAAACCATAGTGAAGGAGACCAATGTTAATGAAGTATTAATTATAATTTTTTTTTTTTTGTATTTTAGGAAAGGGTCTATAGGGTGTTCAGGGTTTCACTACTAGATTGGACCTGTAGTGATTTGCCTGTTTACAGCCTCCCAAGAGCTGGGATTATAGGCACTTGCCACAGTGCCCAGTCTCAATTGCCATCTCAACATGCCCCCCCGGGGGGGGGGTGCAGCAGGGCAGGCCCAGGGATCAAATCCCCAGCCCCTGTGCCTGCTAGCAGGCACTTTAATCTACTGATCCATTTTGCCAGTCCTAATTATAATAATTAATAAATTACTACATAAGTAAATTACTTTCTATATACCTAATATTGTACTAAATTGTAGTATGTTATTAAATACTTGAAGTAATCTTGCAAAACAAAAAGTATAATTTCAATTTTCTAGATGACAAAGCTCAAACTCACAGAACAACTAACCTGGAATTAGCTTTTGTGTCATAGAATTTCAGAGCAATATCTCAGCCAAAACAATTCCTTTTCTTTCTCTCTTCTATGTATTGTTGAAATCACATAAATATGTTTGTGTCCTATTGTGCATATCACTATAGTGTGAGAGGGATGGTTTTTTTTTTGTTTGTTTGTTTGTTTGTTTTTGCAGTACCAGGGATTGAACTTAAGACCCTGTGCTTGCCAGGCAAGTGCTTATTCTACTAAACTATCTCCCTGGCCCCCAGTAGTGTGAGAGTTAATGATGCTTTGGCCTAGATCTTAGCCTCCAGAGGACTGTGAGAAATGTGTTTCTATTGTAAAGACCTACAATATTTTGTTTTAGCAGTTTGAGGAGACTAGGAAAAAGACTAAACCTACAGTCAGTAAAGGAACTAAGGAGATCAGATATTGCAGAGTTGCCTTGAAAAGGAGCAGAACACTTAGATTTGTACTGCACACCCTGCATTACTGAGCAGCCATCAGATGAGCTGCCCACTTCTTAGAACACCTACTGTTACTGGGCTTCTTCCTACTATTGGTCAAGAATCCAGGCCTAGAACAGAGGTGCCTGGTCATTGGGCAGGGAGCTGTTCTTCCCCGACACCAGAGGGCAGACTCTGGCCTCCACTTAGGCAATCTTCAGGGCCTCTTCCTGAGAAGCCAGTCATTGCACAACACTCCTTATCTTCTTTTGTGGGGATGGGGGATTTTCAATGGTCCAGCAGTGGCAAGGCCTGGAGAAGCAGAGAATGTACAGCCTGCCTAGCTCCAAGCTCTCCTGTGAGAGCTGC